ATTAATAAAAGGAGGCTATATTCTAAACTAACGACTTGTTTATTTATTTAGAAATTTTTAAGATTGAGATTTTTCAAACATTGTATAGATATCAGTCTGTTGTCGAAAACCACTGTCCTTCTAAGATGGCTTTTGGTTCAATAGCTTCCTTGTACATGTAGGCATCAACATTGAAATCATGATAGGAACAAGCCCTGGAATATCATATCAACCATATATACCAAGTGCAGGCGAGACTGAAATGTTGCTTCACAGATGGAGTTATGCCCCTTTACAAATGGAAAAATGGCTGATTTTTTTGTTTCCGCGTTTCCGTTCTCTAACTTAAGTCTGCCTCAACCAAATGTTATAAAACTTATACAAAATGCTTATTACCACAAAACACAGAATAAGTACAAATTTGGGTAGCGTCACTTTTACTGTTTTTGAGATATGTCCCTTTATAATGTTATATGCAAGTGGGGGCATCATCTGCGTCCCATGGACACATTCTCCATTATTATTTGTGGTCAAAGATCTTAAAATTTTGAAATGGGACATTTAATTTACCTAGAATGGTCTGATATCTAAAATCTAACAACATGGTTAGATTCAGCATATAAAAAAAAAACACCAATAATTTAATTTAAGTTGAAATCAAACAAAGTTTAATTTGGGACCCTTCAAACCTTAGTATGAACTAATTTGAAAACAGGGCTCAAAATAAAAATCTAAATGCACAATAAGATTCAGCAAATCATACAGCCGCAATTATTCAGTTTTTGATGAAATCAAACAAAGTTTAATTTTGGACCCTTTTGACCTCAATGTAGACCAATTAAAAAATGGGGCCCATTATCCAAAAAAAAATATACACGGTTAGAATCCCCAAAAATTAAAGACTTTATTAATCCCATCGAAATTGGTTAAAACGTTTGTATTTGTTTTCAACTGAAGATTTCTTGCTATTGCGCAATACTGTGCAGTTGAAGATTTCTTGCTATTGTGCAATGCTGTGCTATTGCCCAATACTGTGCAATTAAAGATTTCTTGCTATTGCGCAATATCTGTGCAATTGAAGATTTTTTGCTATTGCGCAATACTGTGCCTGAGTTGAAGATTTCTTGTTATTGCGCAATACTGTGCTATTGTGCAATACTGTGCAATTGAAGATTTCTTGCTATTGCGTAATACTGTGCTATTGCGCAATACTGTGCAATTGAAGATTTTTTGCTTTAGCCCAATACTGTCCTATTGTACAATACTGTGCTATTGCGCAATATTGTGCAATTGAAGATTTCTTGCTATTGCGCAATACTGTGCAATTGAAGATTTCTTGCTATTGCGCAATACTGTGCAATTGAAGATTTCAAAAATTTTGAAGAAAAAAAATGGACCCACCAAAAAAATTGGAAAAAAATACCCCCAACTTTTTGAACCCCAGCCTTCTCTTTATGGTATGGAACCTTGTAGTACAATTTTAGAGAGATCCATACACTTAAACACAAGTTATTGACGGAAACTAGAAAAATGCTTGTTTTTGGCCCCTTTTTTGCCCCTAATTCCTGAACGTTTGGGGCAATTAACCCAAAACTCAATCCCAGCCTTCCCTTTGTGATATGGAACCTTGTGGTACAATTTCAGACAGATCCATACACCTACATACAAATTATTGTCCGGAAACTACAAAAATGCTAGTTTAGGGGCCAAAACAAGCATTTTTGTAATTTCAGACAGATCCATACACCTACATACAAATTATTGTCCGGAAACTACAAAAATGCTTGTTTTGGCCCCTAAACTGTTGGTACCATCACCCCCAAAATCAATCCCAACCTTTCTTCAGTGGTATTGAACCTTCTGATAAAAATTCATAGAGATCCATTCACTTAAACTAAGGTTATGGTTCGGAAACCAAATGTGTCTTCGGACGACGACGCCGACGACGACATCATAGCATTATACGACGCAAATTTTTTTTTTGCGGTCGTATAAAAAGTCTGGTCTATTTGCAAAATATTAATTTGAAAAGACTCAATAAATATAAATGTTGATTTCAAACTCGAAATGCGTTTAGTTGAAAATCAAAACATTTCAAGGTACGTGACAATCAACACCCATTACTAAAAAAACAAGCCAACCAATCTTCTAGAGTTAACAGAAACGAAGTTGAAAGGAGAAACATTTTCACGATGTTATTTATGTTTAGTTCCATATACACCTTACATGTGTATAGAAATATTGTCGCCCTTTGGACTTCATTCGTTACGGCGCTAAGACCCTTGCTTAGGTGGTGCGTCCGTTTGCAATGCGGAATTTATAAATACGCAGCCACGTCCGGTCGGAATGGGTACTTGAGCTTTATGTCCGATACCTCGTGTAGATAGAATGCCACGCTCACTTCATGTAAACAAACCCTGACAACAACTCTTTGATGGGTAAGTAGGTGGCCTGTTGCAAGGCAGAATTTCTGATCTTATCCAACATACCCTCATTTTAAATTGCAATGCAAATTTGCCGCCCTTTATCCTGGTCGACCCCTACCTTGCAGATCCTACCTATTGTATTAATTGTCAATTTGTTTCCTTCCTGAACATACATGAAATATTTGCCATTAGACTTTAAGCAAACAACAACCAATAAATCTTATACACCTTACATTCACGGGACGATAACGATTGCAATAAATTTCAAGGTATATTAGAAATAAACATGGGTTATTTCCTTTTTTAAGGAAACAATTTTTTAAATCTTTATTCTCACATTTTATTGACGTTGAAGGGACTTGATCTTTCTGAAATTAACTGTTTGATAAAAGTTAAACTGTTACCTTCTTCCGCGTAAGTAATGAAAACACACCTGGTAATTCTTCAATTTATCAGGCCAATGTACGAAAATTATGTTTTATTTCTTGTTTAAATTGAACTATATTAACATGACAAATCTGGAATAAAAAAGCTAATACCAATAGTTATGGAAACGTAATCTCTCGCTCTTATATATAATCTCTTAAAGTGAAGTGCAGGATATAAAATACTTAGAATATCTTTTGTGTGTTTGGTGTTTAAATGAAAATAATGTCACTGGCATGAGATTTCATGTCGTGTAACAGATACATATATTAAGAGGAATTGCTTATTTTCACTGTCCGTACTTCACTCAAAAATTGGTGACACCTAGTGAAATGTTAATAAGAAAGAGCTTAAAGTATATATATAAGGGTCTGGATGGGGGTCCTTCATTTCTGTATTCTTTATACTTTCTGCCTATTATTCTCTATTCTTTAAAATTTTAGCACCTCACTATTCTCTATTCTTTATTTTTTTTCTCCATTTTTCTATATTCTTTATATATATGTTTTGCCCATTATTCTCTTTTCTGTAAACCCACTTCCACACCCTCATATATAAAAAGGTTTTAAAACAGTGTCACATATATAAAATGCAATTACCACTAACCGTTACTGTTGATGCTAGCCTCTGTGTTCAGGGCAATTTTGAAACGTTAATTTGTTGTTTTTTTTTTTTCATTTTGCTTCGAATGACATCTGTAACCAAAATGGACGACATTTTGCTTCGAAGGACATCTGTAACCAAAATGAACGAATACACCTTATCGCTATTTGTCCGCCATTACTGGACATCACACAGGTTCCTGAAAATTTTGACGTCATAATACAAAAGTGATTGTTGTGTGACGTCAATAGTTCAAGCGGGACAGATTCTCGGGTCAGCCGGGAATAGCGATAAGGTGTATACGAGCAGAATTGTAATCCATAGCTTTACCTCTAACACAACTTTTTGTTTGGTTAGAAATTTCCTTCTCATTCAGTGGAAAAAATATGTAAAAGTAACCACAGTTTATCAACTCTTTTACAGCTCTGAGTCGTCTTCGGCATTTATAATGTAGATACATGTACATGATTTTGACATAACTTTCTTAGAACTTCAAGGTTCACGCTTGTAAACTTTATATACAGTACTAGTAGATATCACAAAGTCAACTGCTATACTTAAAAGTCTGGCGTTCATAAAGAGGAGTTAAATATATAAAGTGCGCACACTGGAAGAAGTGAACAGACGCGAATAGCTTCACTAAGTGACGACCGGTCGAGGAATGGAGCTTTTCTTACCTCACCCAGACCATGTGGTTCATGCATGTTATTCGAGATCTTCATAGGAGATATGGGCTCATATTTATATCCCCTTAAACGTCAGGCGAAATGGTTATTATGCACTGACAGTGAATATGAGATATTATCCCCTGTGAATCCCATACAATAATTATATTATACCGGAGCGTTCTGGCTTCATATTAAAAATCATTCTGATCTTCGTCTTTGTTCACAGGGTATATGGTCTCATATGCCCTGTCAAGTACCAAACAAATTGCAGGATTAGCTGGGATATTTCACACAAGTTTAATATTTTGTGATATTTCCCTCATACATAAATCTTATAAATGTCAAGTCATATATGAATTAAACAACAGATTTTTTTTTATTAAAGCAAGTACGCATGTTTTACAATGTTAACTGTATCAATTACTGGGATTTTCAATAAAGAATTAAAGATTTACGGAATGGACTTGATAATTTTGGGGTAAGGATGGATACATAATCATTATTACACAGTGCACTTGATTGTAAAGGACATGCTACATTTTTTTATATTAAATTTTCATATAAATTATCTTTATTTGATATTTTTAGCCCTAAGGAAGTATCAAAAGTGTGGGGAAAATAAATTACATAATTTACTGATAATTCTGTGCGGTTTAGTTGTCATAAAATCAATAACGTTTATAGTATGTAGTTTTATAAAAGCTGTCAAATATGATTATAAATTAGTTAATTTTAAATCACTCAAAGAAATAAATACACCATTTACTAAGTTATATCGCAAGGCAATCATAAATTAATTTCAGGAGTTCCTAAAATCTGTAGCACCCCCTCCCCCAATAATAAACAAATAAATAATAATAATAATAATAATAATGATATGCAGTGTTGAAAAAAAAAATGAAACTTCAAAAATACTTTAATACTTTCTACAACAATGTTTGGGTCCATTTTGAATAGTATATCCCTGATATATTATATATACATTTCACAACAATAATAAACTAAGATAAAACATACAAATCTATATGAGTTTACGTGTACGTATATATACAGCCTTTACTGTCTCGTTTTTACAACCAATCGCTCCATATGTCTTTAAATTTTTGCTTTATTTTACAGATACCATTTTACAACTTCTGCGAAAACAATTTGACGGGGTGAACTGCTTCCGCTGTATGGTTCTCATACAAGAAAAAAAAAAAATCGATTTGCACTGAGAATTGTCTCCCTTGTAATGTCTGTCTTTTATGGCATTATACATTCTTGCCCTATTCTACGTGCATCTGCGGGACAGCTAGGAACACATCGATCACCAAACTGGAAATACTTGCACATCTGTAAAAATAAGAACACACTTTTGTAGACGAAAAGCCTGGTCTATTTGATGAGTTTTTTTTATAATTGTAAGAAATTATCAATAAAATGTAACTTTTCATCAGACTTTCGGCTATTAGGACCAACTGGGGTCACTTCTCGCAGATGTCCTTTAGTAGTTTGAGGCATACTTCATATTCGGGCTTTTCAAGGAAAGTGTAAACATACTAGCATCATCCCTCAACTGTGGATACCGACATATATATATATAGAAAATGTCCTCTAACTGAATAATTCAAAAGTTTGATGACTATGTTTATCGTTGCCACCCTATTGAATTTGACTTAAACAAACAACTAGGTCTGCTTCACATTTTAATGTGCATATTGGTTGACACTCTCGTAAGACCTTTAGACCAAATAAATGATCTCAGTATTCACATTGTGAGCTGTCCATTTTAATGTGGCAACATTCCAGTAGCATCTATATTAAATAAAGAGATGTGGTATGGTTGCCAATGACAGTACATGTGTCTGGAGTGTACATCTCCAAAGTGATAATATATTTCAGGGCTTGAGTATCCTATCATGATTTCCTTGATAGAGGGTCATACATGATGTTATTGACCCAGGGAATCGTAATGTTAAGTTGAAGTCACGATTTGATTCACCGTTATGGAATACATAGATATAAGAAGATTTGGTATGAGTGCCAGTGAGACAACTCTCCATCCAAGTCAAAATTTATAAAAGTAAACCATTATAGGTCAGAGTACGGTCTTCAACACGGAGCCTTGGCTCACACCGAACAGCAAGCTATAAAGGGCCCCAAAAATTACTAGTGTAAAACCATTCAAACGGGAAAACCAACGGTCTAATCTATATAAAAAACGAGAAACGAGAAACACTTATGAACCACATCAACAAACGACAACTACTGAACATCAGATTCCTGACTTAGGACAGGTGCAAACAATTGCAGCGGGTTAAAACGTTTTGATGGTTTTAATGGTACATGTTTGAATTAAATGTTGTTGATTATACACTCTTCCTTTGGTCTCTTGTTTATAGCTTTCTCATTTACAATCATTCAATATCTCCCTTTTATGCCCCAGCCGTAGGCGACGGGGGCATTAAGTGTAACCCTTGACCTTCCGTCTTTCCGTCCGTCCATCCTTCCCATTTTCGTTTGTTTTAAACTTAAGCGCGGGCATTTATGTCCTCAGACACACTCTTCTTTTATTTATTTATTATTTTTCGGTTTGAATTTTATTGTTCAATATTATTCTATTTTACTGTTTTATGGACTGCTGGTTTGTATTTGTCGTTTTTTCCTTTGGTCTTCAGGTTGTCTTTTCCTACTTATGGTTTCTGGTTGTCTACTTTGTGTCCTCTTCCTTTTTGGTTTAATTTGTGATCACACACATTAATAAATAAAACTGATAGCTCTAAAGATTATTTTGAAGGAGTTTTTTTGTATATGTAAGTAGATCGGTTGATTCAAAAACTGAAGTACATAATACAACATTGGATTTATTACGAGAAAACTCTACATACCGACCTTGCGAGCCTTGCGAGACCCCCCTCATGGGAAATCAAGGTCGTTAACCCCCCCCCCCTCCCCCGTAGTAGTAGATTACTCTATAATTATGCATACAAACTTACCTCGCAATCAGAATCACTTGGTCCATAACATCCGATAGCACATTCTGGATGGCAACAACCTAATATATAACTGTCATAGCAACGGCCTGGACAGGAAGAATGACAATGTGAGCTCCGCACTGAAAGAAGAAAAAAATACTTATTCATCAAAAATGCAAATCTAAGAAAGACCACCGTAGCAGCTTTTTTGGAATAGTAGATACAATCTGATTATCTCGCTTTGAGTTCATCGCTCTGTAACTTGTATGAACACGTATACGCGCAGTATGTAGATTAAACTTTTTCCGTTGCACATCGTGCGATTTCTGACGGAGCATGGATTCGCACGGCATGTGATGCATGCATATATAACTAGAGCTGCCAACCATGTCGACGGAACCGGTCTCATTCCGTTTGCAAATCATGCGAATACCTATTGGCATTTTGTTTTTTTTTCAAAAAGGATTTGCGAAATTTGAACTCCGGTAGACTATTGTTGCCGCTCATACAGGTCATTCATATAGTTGCTATTTGTTCGTCTCATATTGTTTGCTTTACTTTTTCAACAAAAGAATTTACTTTAAAAAAATAGGGCGGTCTATACATGTAGCGAAATAAAGCAATTACTATTACCTGTCTGGCACATAAATCTAGATTCTCCCCAACAACGATTTATTCCATCAACTTCACACTCAGGGTCACACTCCTTTTCACCTAAACATTTAAGAAAATATTTGTTAAAAACATTAATAAAATTGAAAAATGCTTGAAATACTATTTTTTCTATTTTAGAATATGATCGTCAGCTAACGGTTAGCACATATAAAAGGCTTATGTAAAACATTACATCATAATGACAATTTTCATATATTTAAAAACTCAATACATTCAAATAAAAATTTGCAGAATCTATAGCGTCATCACAGGAAAAAAATTATTAGATGCACTTTGTCAACAACAACAAAATGTCTCTAAGGGAGCTACCATTTGATTTTTATGGGGGGGGGGCAAGGATGAAATTTGAAAAAAATAGGCAGGACAAGAGTTTTGAGTAAAAAAAAAGGCAGGATGAGACACTTTGCAAAAAAAAAAAAGGAGGGCTCAACCAATGGCATCAGTTGTGATATTCAATATCAAAATCCAATTTAGAAATGAAACGTAAAAATGTATTTAAATCTACGGTGTATTATTCCTAATGTAGACAGATACTCCCATATGCTAAGAAGGCTAATGACTTTTTTTGGAAATGAACCGACTCTCAACGTCTATAGTTTGTACATGTACGTCGCAAAATGAAGTTTATTCATGCACACGGAACTCGGTATCTATGTTTTTCCATTTTTCCATATCCTGAATAGTTAAATTTTAACCCTATATTGTTTCTCAAACATAAATAACCTAATAGGCTTTCGTACATATGACTTAAATTTAAAAAAAAAATTAAATGCATGCATTGAACTTTCTTTCAGTCCATGATATCTTCTCTGCCCTTACCAGGATTTGTACATGCATGTACATGTAGCGATGGGTGAAGTGTTTGCGTTTAATTTGCAACTATCACAAACATGTAAATAGAAGTTGTTGTCTAGGGAAATAGATTTAATCACGGTTTTCTCTAAAATACCAGTACCCACTCAGAAATAAGATTGTTCATTGCAAGTTGTTTCATTATTAGGAACCGTCGTCATTGTCAAACACAGTCACGTTTACATTAAACTACTAGACTATCGGATATTAAAACAATCTGTTTTTCTTATATATAATAAAAAATATACACATATCTTTCTTAATTTTTATATATATACTATAAAAAGCATACAATTATCAGAATATGCCAGTTCGCCATATTTCACAGGTCGGTCGTTATCAGGAACAATGGAACCCCAGTCTATTGTATCAATGTAACACAAATGAGGATTTTGTGCGAAAAATACCTTTCCTTTGGAGATTTCTGAAAATAAACACATCGTGGGTGAGAATGAAAAGTACACACAAGTATATAATCGGATCTTCTTTTTCATAATAGACCGTAAATAGCACTTGATGACTATTTAACGTCAAACGGAAAACAGACAATCTGACAGACATAATTAGGTAAAGCTTGTAGAAATCGGTCAGATATAAAAAATAAAGACATAAGGGGAACTATTTTTTTAACTATGCAAAGTATGAGTCTTCGCTATTAAGTTTTCTTGCTCTTTCTCGTTTGTTTGTGTTTTCAGAGAAAGGATGGATGAACATTGTTTTTATTACTATATAGATATTTCTGCTGGTGGTCTATCAGTCCCAGAGTGTATCATCTACTCAGTAACAAGTGTATGTACTGTATTTTTGTATGTATATATCCAATTCATAGAATATAAAGTCGTACTAAAAGTAAGGTTGCAAATCCCTCTGGCAAAGGTCAGACATGTACGGATTTGTTTTGTTTTGTTTTATTGTTGGTCACCTTGGTTTTAAAGCTCCGAAATGTTTGATATATATATATACATATATTGGCATTTTGTCTCGATGGTACACGCTGAAGGTTTATCCAGAGACACGTGTCGTGCACACGGAGATATATAACACGTGATACATTTTTACTGACTCGACCATCTGGAGCACCAGAGATCACTCCTGGTTTACGGTGGGGTTCGTATGGCCCCGTCTTTAGTTTTTTATACAGTGTTTTGTAGACTGATATTTTACTTTTCGTCCTTTTTTTGTTTTTTGCCATGGTGTGGTCGGCCTCTCTTATGATTCTCTCTTTGGTATCTTCTGCCTCAGTTTAAATTGGTTTTTTACCTTACAATGTAAACGTTTTAGCTTTTATCTGTCAGGTTTAAATTAACCTTGTGAAAATCTACATAAAAATTATGAAATACAAGTACTAATATTTCCGATAAAAAGTCGGCTGGAAACAAGTCTAAAAAAGGCGTAAATGTATGACAAAGGATCATGTAGACTACCTATGATCAACTGATGATATAATTGTTAAACGTACAAAAATCAGTCTTCGTGATATACAATTACTGTAAACCAACTAATTTTCGCGAGCGATTTATTTTCGCGACTTTCGCGAATATAAATCGTTGCGAAAAATATAAAACTTGGATCTTTTCTCATTTAACTACATCAAATTAAATCAAAAATCGCGAAATTAAATCGCCGCAAAGTGGGCTAGAAATGGCTTAACGCGAAATAAAGTATCCGCGAAAATAAGTTGGTTTACAGTATACAGTATCTTCCATCACTGCAATTTGACATGAAATATATAATTATATCAATCACTCATCTCTATTAAGATCGTTAGACGTGAATTTCAAGCTATTACCTAACAGTGATGGTAACTGAAGTTCACGGAGTCCTACACGTTTAGGGTCATTTCCGGCTTCGGAGGTCAAGGCCACCACAAGGCCGTATTCTTCACCCATTATGTTATAGGTGCTGTCTGCTCTGATCAATCGTAAGTTGATGAGTGGAATAGTTTGTACTTCTAACAATCCCAGTAAAACATAACCAGTCACTACTTTGATTGAAGACAGGAAACTAATGTCATAGGAAGAGTTAATGGCCTTGTCTACATGAGTTATCTCTAGATTTCCTTCCACGTGTGTGCAGTCTTTGAATCTCCTGCGGATGGATTCGTAATGGTCGTCCTGGTTACCAGACATTCCAAAACCAACATGTGTTCCGTAACATTCTATTCAAAAAATTATGCAATTTTATAGTCAACAATTTAACAATCATAATTTCGTAGATAAAATTAAACTAGCAAGATGAAGATTCGAAAGACAGAGATATTCACACCAAAAACGTCATGCAGGAAATGTGGAATTATCTTTAGGAAAGATATTTTATTGTAAATAAACTCATCATAGATACCATTTTCGTCTATAAAAGACTTATCAGTGACACTCGAGGCAATACAGTTAAAAAGGTTAAATAAAGTACGCAGTTGAAGAGCATTTAGGACCCAGAATTCCAAAAGGTATCTGTAAGATTTGGGCATGTTATGTACTTAAAAAAACCTAACAGTAGAGACGAAATAGACAGATGTGTTTTGCTCTTTGTTAAGCTGGGTTGTTATTATTGGCGTTTACCCCACATCCATTGACATCGTATTTTATTTTTATATGACATGATAAATTCGAAAGCAAAAGACAAAGAGACACGGGGAAATCGAAGTTAATAAATAACTCAACTAAAATATCTCCTGTTAATGTCTGCTTACATAAAAATATTTCTGAAATGCTGTTAATGAAAATCGTCTTTTTAAAATTTTTTTAAAAATTTTTGTTGGAATAACATTCTAAGATGGATTTACCCCTTTTTTTCTTTTTACCTCACCTGGCCCGAAGGTGTGTTCTTGCTCTTATGTATATTATATTACTATAACAGTAATGTGTATATGATCATGATGATGCCCCTCTATTCTTGTTTTCCAGGAATAGAGTGGCATCATATTTAAACTAATGTTATTCTTAAATTCATAAAAAGGGGGTCCTTTCCCCAAGCGCCTGTGGAGGCAATTGTTTAATTTTGGCTGCTGGAAAATACGACGATAAAACTACCCTTTTCAAACAAAAAGTGATAGGCGAGAAGAATGGAATCGTGAAATTTCATGCAAGATGTCTTGGATACAAAGTTAGTCTCTCAGAGATTGAATGATGATGAATTACATCAGAACTGGAAGTAACGCTTAATTCCAAAATAAAACCTGATCAAAGAATTTAAAAATGATAGGATTGTCATATATGATAATATCAAAGGGGACGTAACTCCACTCCTTTAACAGTTAAATTCTCCCACTATTTATGTTGACGCATTTGTACATTAAATTGAGGATTATCACACCAATTTTATTTTTAATAAACATACTTTTAATTTTTGAGACAGAAATATAGAATCTTAAACTTTCTTTAATAATACAACTATAAATATATGCATGTGTGTACTTCATGTCTGACGTGTGCCTGTAATCTAATCATTTAGTGAAAGGTTACCAAAGGTTACATTCTTGTTAAGTTTTAAGTGCACTGATAATCATTAGTTGAGTATTTACACAGTACAATCATTATGTGTATTATTTATGGTTTATAATTTACTATTTTAAAATAAATATTGAAGAAATACATTTGAATTGTCTATATAACAAGAAGTTTTTGATATAGTAGATTATCCAAAATTTAATGAGCACAACATGCATGTAAATAGATTCATTTCACGTATCATTTTTCAAATCATTTAACAAAATATTAGAACTATATTGCTAATTAAATAAGTAACTAACCTTTTGTTACTTCACTTTCAACGTTAACTATTTCAACACCAGAAAGGAAATTTAACACACAAAGAAAAGTAAATAAACACAAGAAACTCGAAAAATCTTCCATTTTGACTGCTGATGTAAAAAGTTTTCATCACGTGACATGTTCTCGTGCTCATTAGCTAAGTGATGCGGAAGATGTTAAAACAAAACGGTTCTTATGTTATTATGCATATAAATTGTCCAAAAAAATAAGCCAAAATAAAAGTTACTGAAGGGAGAGGTTTTGCAATATCGAAAACTCGACATGCGTTTTGATTCATTGACGATTGCTTAATGTCAAGTGGCAAATATTTCATACACTTTTAGGGCTATATAAGAATAAGAAGATGTGATTGCCAATGAGACAACTCTCCACTAGACACCAACTGATGTAGATGTAAACACCCATATATATCATATTTAATGATTAATTATTTTTATACATATAAAGTTTTGCAACATGGGTTGACTGGCCGGGATGAAGGGATGGAAATCAGACTGCCACTGTATATGGGTAGTGTTAAACTTTTGTCTTGCAATATACTCTATCTCCGTCAAGAAGCGTTTGCAAGATTTAATTTTACGTGCACAATGCATGACACTCTCTCGACATTGGACTGAACGTGCTCATTTTGACATGACGTGGCTTCGAATTGATAAATCTCGCACAGCTAAACGAACATTTTCCTCACTACTGATCTTACACTGTTATACAATCAGGGTTGAATCAGGGTTTTGATCACAATTAATATTGTACTAATATATCAACAGAAAAAGGTTGTGCCTATTTTTATTATAGGTTTCTGTACTTTTTCATTGCCTAAGATTATGAATAAATTAATAAAGATACATGCTGTTGTCTGCTCTATGGTCGGGTCGTTGCCTCTTTGACACATTCCCCATTTCCATTCTCAATTTTATGTAGGCACCATTTCCTTCTTTATCTCTGTTCTAAATATATATATATATAAAATATAATTCAGAGCTATTTTGGGAGGGGGCATGTTGTCTATTATTTTTTTTTGTCAATGTTATACATGCTTGTATTGTATTTTTGTTTTTGTTTGTTATTGAGTCTATTGTTTGCATTTTACAATAATAAAATTATAATCTTATATTATATTATCTTATCTTATCTACTTCACTAAATCAAGTTTGCGCTTTTAACAACAGGTATCAATGTGGACCAGGAAGTTATATAAATGACGTCGGTTGTATTAACCCGAATAATTCAGTCCCTCCCCGTGATCGACTCTCCCACTCGGAAGTTAATGTAGCCATCGTAGAGCAGTGGAATATAACGACTGAATTATTCGGGTTACGGTTGTATAGGATGTACCGTTTAAGAAGATGGCAAGACTATCGACAGCTACCACCAGAATGCGATATATTAATGTGCAATTCCTGTAAGGACAGAATCCATGAAAGAATAAAATCTACGAAGGATCATGAAGTGCTTTCCTTTTACAACATTGGGGAACATCAATATGTTCCCATGGCGGTTTCATCTGAAGTTATTTCATCAATTTTAAATTCGTATACAACTAGTGTGCCAGTAAGTAATATGTTATGCTCAAATGTACATCGTGTACATTCTGGCAAACAAAGGACAAGACAAATTCATTAATGCTGAAAGAGTCAATCAAAGCATTGGTGACCCTTGATGAACCAATATTTGACATTGCAGTAAACAAAAAGGGTAAGGTTCTTTTCACTCAACTTCTGCGCGTACCTGAAAGTCCCATCCGCACGTTGTTAAAGTCTGGACAAGTCAAAACTGTTTTAGATCCTAAACCAATGAGGTTACTTGCTTTACATTTCAATATGGACGACGAATTGGTATGTGGTCTATGTGAACAAGGGTCTCCATTCCCACTTAATGATTTTTCTGTGCGGCAAGTTGTTATTTTTGGAAGTGATTACAAGAAAAAAATTACATTTGAGTTTGACGTCAAGGGAAGAAAATTATTTGCATACCCGGCTCGAATCCGTACTGACTCCAAAAATGGAATTTATATCGTTGATTGGACAGATAGTGAAGTGAATGGAAAAATAGTAACAATTGATAAAAGTGGTCGCATGAAATTTACCTACTGCGGACCTGCATATTTTGAATTCTTCAGACCAGCATCAATTGTTGTCACTCCAAGTGATAATATTGTGCTTTCTGACCAGTACAACGACACTTTACTTGCTTTAAATTCTAGAGGAAATCTTATTGCAGTACAGTTTGTTTATGAAATGAATATTTCTCCTTGTGGTCTATGCATAGATAATGAAGGGTTTTTACTTATTGGGTGCTACCAAGAAAAGGGCCAGAGCGGGAAATTCACGTGGTAAAGATGAAAGAGGCACTCGCGTGATGTATGTTAATGACGATTTTTATAATGAATAAATATTGTTTAAAAAAATAATTATATACATTTATGTTGAAAACAGATTCAAATTCATGAAATGGAAAATTATGTTAATATATATATATGTATATATATATAAAGCATAGAAAATCAACCTAACAATGTACGTATTCTTTACTTCCTCCTCGACTGGGGCTGGAACCTGTACTTTTCACTTCTCATTCCTACGACAACACCGCCTTGCATTGCGCCTTATCCCTCCTCTAACTCTAAGCTGATAAAAAATATAAAAATTGATAAAAATTTTCGTGTTACCTTATCGTAGATATTAAACAAGGTCGACATATCACAATACACGAAGTATTTTTAAGTGTACAGGAATGATCATCTATATATTATATATATATTTGTGTTAGCAAATTTTTGTTCATTCCTCAGCGGGATTGGAACCATTGCTTCTATGACATCATGGCAACACCGCCTGCACTGTGTCCAGCGCCATAGACCACTCGAGCAACTAGTACATGTATACATTACAGTGACTATGGTATATATATGGTTTCTTAAATCATCTCGAATTGAATGTGTTGCAAATTTGTCTTTTAGTAAAATAATTATCAATCAAAACGATGGGAACTTGAGATTTAGGGCAAAGTCGTTTTAGGATTTGAGAACAATTCTAGGATGAAAAATTTTGTCCTGCATTTTTATTTAGTTGTAATCTCTGTCCTTTTTATTTTTCACTCTATTCGGTCCTGCCTTTTTTTATTAGTATATCCTGACTTTTTTTACATAAATTGTCATCCTGCCTTTTTTTTTTTTGCAAAGTTGCTCATCCTGCCTTTTTTGTTTTACTCAAAACTCCTGTCCTGCCTTTTTTTTCAAATTTCATGCTAGCCCCCATAAAAATCAAATGGTAGCTCACTAAGGCGGCTTCTGCTCCATGTATAACATTTCTTGAAATTTAGATGATGTCCAACTTTTTATCTGATAATCTGTCTATGAAACTACAGTAGCAAAATGAAAACTTATAGGGCTACAAACCGTCAGAATATGAAATTTTGCATTTCAAAGTTCACTATTGGCACTCTCAATCTTATTTTTATTTAAAGTCTGTTAGGGGTGGTAAGTGGGTATTTCTTTTTTTGACTATCCATGATGTACATTTAGTAGATCTAGATTATATATACCATAGACTATTAACAAAGATAATTCGAAGTGATAAATTTACATTTAAATGAATGCAAAAGCGAATGAGTGTTGTATGCGTTTCATTGACTTTTCAAAGAATATATCAGTGGATGAGATATATATACATTAATTAGATATAAGAAGATGTGGTATTAGTGCCAATGAGACAACTCTCCATCCAAGTCACAATTTGTAAAAATAAACCATTATAGGTCAAAGTATATACGGCCTTCAACACGGAGCCTTGACTCACACCGAACAGCAAGCTATAAAGGGCCTCAAAAATGACTAGTGTAAAACTATTCAAACAGGAAAACCAACGGTCACCAATTAAATCTTTTCTTCATCGATATATTGGACATTTCTACATATGCGTTTTAAAGATTAGGACTAAATGTTTTATTTTCAAAGAATAAATCGGTCGATGAGATATATATATATACCTTAAATCTTTTCTTCATCGAAATGGTGGACATTTCTACATATGCGTTTTAAAGGTTAGGACTAAAAACTTAGGAAATTATCTTAGGTCATTTGCTATGGTGTTAGAAAGTTTATATTGACCTGAAATATACAACAACTATATCAATTAGACTTCATATTCCCATGGGCACCAATTGCGCCCCTTTAATAGCAGACATGTTCTTGTACTGTTATGAATCACAGTTTATGGCCAAACTCAGTAAAGACCCGTCTAAATTGCATTAAATTGATAAATTCCACAACACTTGTCGTTATTTTGATGAAATTGTTTCGTTAAATAATTAAAAATTTTCTAAATATACCATCAAAATTTACCCAAAGGAACTTACATTGAATAAAAAAATCAAATATAAACTTTCCTTTCTTAGATTTAAATATTTTAGTTTTAAACGTGAAACTCTACACAAAATTTTATGACAAAAGGGCCGATTTTTCTTTCCCAATTGTTAATTTTCATGTTTTAGATGGTGGTTTTCCTTTGACACCATCTTACGGTGTTTATATAATTGATAACAACTCGTTCGCTATGCCGGTCTGTAGTGACGTTTTGGATTTTCGACCGGCAACCATAAAACTGATGGTTGACGTCATCCAATCAAAGAAGCGTTACATTATATTTTATTCGAATTCCATATAATTTCATTTGCCTAGTAGTATGGGATGCAGGTGAAGTTGTTGATGGTGTCTCAACAGCTTGAAATTGAACTTACCCGAGGGAGATACAAACGTGGAGTTTAATCATAACGAGTGTTTGCAGAATCCAAGAATATATAGTATTGGGTGAAAATTAACTACTTTTGTCAAGATTTGTTTTATGAAAAGTTTTATGATGTGTAGAAAACTGAATTATCATTATGTTTTGTCAAAAATATGAAAAGATTCTATAGCTTTTCGTTTAGAGACCAGAAAAAAACCTAATAAATCCATTTTTCTGAGGTTGGTATCCCATTTTGTATATGCACCATCTCAGATGTAAACGTTCTTTTTTATTCGACATTGTTGGTTTGGTAGTTAGAATAGAGAATGGAAACGGGAATGTGTCAAAGAGACAACAGTCCTACCAAAGAGCAGAAAACAGCATAAGGC